CCCTTCCCCAATCTATCTGTCCACCATTTACTCTTCAAAATCCTGAGATAACTGCTCCTTACATTCTATCCAGTGTTTGTAATTGCCTTCAGTGAAAAGATTAGGTAGGTTGTGCTGTCTGCCTTCATAGGAACTGGAACTTGTATCGCTTCTCAGACTTGGCTAAGATCAAGTGTAGGAACTAGAACTTGTCTTTGCCTTTTATGGTGCATACTAAGACAGATGATTCAGTTTGTCTGTTTTATGCGATCACTATCCCTATACAAAGCTGACATACTCAAATATCACTTCACTGATTTTAGAACTATTTTTCACAAAATCCTTTGTCCTCAACTGTCAAGTAAAGAGTTAAGAGGGGGGAAAGAAGGAAGAAAAGATGGCAGGAGAAGATGAGAATTCCTGAGAGTTTTCATATTCCAGGTATTGTGCAAAGTACTTCATATTTATTGTCTACAATTCTCAAAATAGTACTTCAAAGTCATTTTTATCATACTTAATCAACAGAAGGTTGGAGTTCAGATTGGTATTTGTCCTAGGTCCCATTGTTAGTAAGTTAGAGCACAGATCCAAATGCTAACCAGTCTAAATACAAAATCAGGGCTCTCTAGGCTATGCCACACATCTCCCATCTTTGCAGACTAATGAGCTAGCACTGTACTAAGCACTTTTCTATGTACAGCAAAAGGTGGGGTTGCATGTATTTCTGTTTTCCCACAAATAAAGACTAAAATCCAAATTTACAAATGCTATCTCTCTCCTTCTCAGGTATTTCTATATTTTGTAGTGTGGAAATGTGAAGGTCAGTAGGATCTCCTCTCCACCCCTTTTTCCATTGCCTTAAGGACAAAATTAACATTTAACTGGCAGGTAACCAGCTGTTAAAATATTGAAATCATTCTGTGCCAGTTGATTAAAAGCTTGGGCAAACAGATGCCTCTAGGATCTGATACAACTCTTCTTGGTATCAAATCTGATGGGTACCCATGCCATACTGGTGATTAGCTATGTTGAATCCCACTTCTACTTACGTGAAGCCTTTGTATTATATTTACATTATTTCCTTTGTGGCCACTGAAAAGCTTGTATTTGTTAACTGATTGCCAGTTAGCTCCACATTAAGGTTAAGTATGGGACAAACTTCACTTTTATGCATGTGTGAGGTACTGGAAATGGAATCCAGGGTCTCATTTATGCTAGGCACATGTTGTGTCATTCAGTTACACCTGCAGCGAAGACACACTCAACTACTGATGGCTCCTTGTTTCGTTGGGAAATTAAGAGCCTTAATGTATTTTTCAGGGCCATCAGTTTCTAGCCACCTTGACTTTCAGGTCATTCTCCTCATCCTGTGTAGTCACCCCACAAAGCACCCCCATCTAGTTCCCTATGTCTTTCCTTTGCTGACCATCTTCACAAGTACCATCATTTTTACCCCACCTTCAACACTCAGAGTCACATGTGTATGAATAGGAGCTAAGGGCTGGCATCTCCTTTGTGATCCAAAGATGTTAAATTCCATCCCTTCCTTGTTGCTGTTTCTTGGGGGGATATTGCTTTTCACATGTTTTTAAAGCTGTCCAAGCTTCTACAAAAACACATTCCTTGGATTCATATCTAGGCTTAGCCAGTAACTCCAGAAGATTTTTCTACAGTGCTGTACTTCAAAGTAGGAATTTGCCTAGAAAAAGAGTATACTTGTAAATTTTTAAGTTAAAAAATATGACAACTGATTTAGCTCGTTTGAAGTATAATAGTATTTGAAGGATCTGGAACTTGGTTGTAAAGAATACCATTAAGGTCAACTTAAAAATAAAAAGTCTCTTTATAGTTCCAATGGATAAGAGTCAATAAACTAAGTTCATAATCATGAATTTAATCCATAATCCATGAACTAAGTTTCTAGCAGTCCATCACCAAGAGAGCTGCTTAGGCCTCATTCAGAGCATACAAGAGGTGATCAAAGATTTATGGTGAATATTTAAAATTTTAAAATTCATTAAAGTGAAAGATACATTGCTGTGAATACCTCTCAAATACTCTTATTCCATATTCTTGCCACTCTCTGAAGCAGTTCTGGCAGTCTTCTTTCATAACTGTATTTATGAGGTGTGATCAAAAATATAGTGAAAGCCAGGTATGGTGGTACACACCTGTAATCCCAGCACAGGGGAAGCTGAGGTAGGAGGATCACTGGAAGTTCAAGACCAGCCTGAACCACACAGTGAAACCCTATCTTACAAGAAAAAAA